TTTTATTTTTCTTGAAATGAATGATACAAAGTATATTTATACACAACTGCACACACAGTAACAGAATAGCTTCTGTTTTGTTTATTTTCCAACACTCCTCCTAAACAAAACGGTAAAGATAACATGATTCTGAAGAAAAACTAAAATTTTCAACCCATTTCACCGATTGATCGGTGAAATCTTCAATTTTTCTACTCCGATCTGCTTTCTAAGTTTTAGAAAGCGTTCCCCTTTCAGTGCTTTGGTAAGAATGTCTGCAATCTGGTCTTCAGATCTGCAGAACACCACCTCTAGCTTCTTCTTGCTGACTTGCTCTCTGATAAAATGAAATCGTGTCTCAATGTGTTTGCTCCTACCATGCGAAGTAGGATGTTTAGTCAGGTCAATGGCTGACTTGTTGTCAACAAGCAGTTTGACCTTCCCTCTCCCTTCAATTTTTAACTCCTTCATCAGTGAGTCAAGCCAGGCTGCCTGACAAGTGGCTTCACATGCTGCAATGTACTCTGCTTCACATGATGACAGAGCTACAACAGGTTCCTTTGTAGAGCTCCAGGAAATAGGTGCCCCATCAAAGAAAAAAACATACCCTGCTGTACTCTTCCTATCACCCTTGTCTCCACACCAATCCGAGTCAGAGTAAGCAATTACTCTTACCTCTCCTCCTGATCCATGTTTAGGCAGCAAAATTCCATATTCAATGGTACCTTTTAGATACCTTAGAATCCTTTTTACAGCATTTAGATGAGACACTCTGGGGTTTTGCATAAATCTGCTGACCAATCCCACACTGTAGCTAATATCAGGTCTTGTATTACACAAGTACCTTAGGCTTCCAACCATTCTTCTATACTCAGTCGGGTCAACAGCTTCTTCCTCGGGATCTTTCTCCAGTTTTATGCCCACCTCTGCTGGAGTAGTAGCAGAGTTGCATTGATCCATGTTAAACTTAGTTAACATGTCTGTAATGTATCTAGACTGATGCATCATCATACCTGTATCAGTTGTAGTAAATTCAATCCTAAGAAAGTAACTCAGTTTACCCAAATCACTCATCTCAAACTCATGTAGCATCTGAGCTTTGAACTTGTTAATTCTCTCATCACTGCTGCCTGTAACCAACATATCATCTACATACAGGCACACAATTACCATATCCTTCTTGTCCTTCTTCTCATAACACTGAACGTATACCCCATGTTCAGACACACATTTTTCAAAGCCAATGCTGCTCATGAATCCATCTATCTTCTGGTTCCAGGCCCTTGGAGCCTACTTGAGCCCATATAAGGCCTTCTTCAACTTATACACCTTGTAAATGTGCCTTTTATCTTCAAAACCTTGAGGTTGAACCACATAAACTTCCTCTTCCAGGTCTCCATTCAAAAAGGCAGACTTTACATCTAATTGATGTAAAGCCCAGTTGTTTTGTACAGCCATTGAGACTACCAGTCTCACTGTCTCCAATCTGGCCACAGGTGCAAACACCTCTCCATAGTCAATTCCAGCTTGCTGTAAAAATCCTTTAGCCACTAACCTGGCTTTGTATCTAGTCACAACCCCTTTAGGATTTATTTTAGACTTATAAACCCATTTTAGAGCTATGGGTCTCTTGTTAGGAGGCAATTCTGTCAGCTCCCAAGTCTGGTTTTTCACAATTGACCCAATTTCTTCCTGCATAGCCTTGTTCCATCTCTCATCCTTCACAGCCTCCTCAAAGTTAACTGGTTCTGCTTCTGCTATTAAGGCAAAGTGAACAAAGTTACCTTCTGATGAGATAGTTGCCTCATATGCTAGGTCATAGTCTCTCAAATGGGTTGGCAATTGAGTAACCCGAGAGGACCCCTAACACTCTCCTCCCTCCTGCATGCTTCCAATTTTGCTGCAGGTTCACTCTCCAACACAATGGTTGGGCTCTCTTTTCCTTTATCTTCCCACTGTCATTCTCCAGTTTCATCAATTTTTACATCCCTGCTGACTGAAGCAGTACCTGTTACAGGATCATACAATTTGTATCCTCCTGTAACATGATACCCAATCATCACTAGTGGAATTCCTCTATCATCCAGCTTTTTTCTCAACTGTTCTGGAACATGTTTGTAGCATAGGGACCCAAACACTTTCAGATGCTTCACATCTGGCTTCACTCCTGACCAAGCTTCCTCTGGTGTGACATCATTAAGTCTCTTTGTTGGAGAAAAATTTAATACATAGGTGGCTGTCAACACAGCCTCACCCCATAAGAAACTAGGTAGCCCCTTGCTTTTCAGCATGCACCTTACCATGTTTAGAATTGTTCTATTTTTCCTCTCTGCTGCCCCATTGTGTTGAGGCGTGTAGGGGGAGTAACCTCATGAACAATCTCTTCTTTTCCACAATAGTCACTAAAATCAGTGGAGATGTACTCTCCTCCTCCATCTGTTCTCAGTGTCTTCAATTTGTTCCCACTCTGCCTTTCAACCATATTTTTGAACTGCTGAAAATGTTGCAGTACTTCCCCTTT